CTCCCCTGCGAAAATTATTGCCCACCCCGACTTAGGAGGTGCACCGGGTCGAGGATCAGAACCTGCCCCCTGGTGTGCACAGCCTAGGTCACCAATATAATTTGGGACTGGTTTGCTGACTCTTCAGCCTTTCACTGTCCACTGCTTAATAATGGGCCATTCAAACAGAAACGAGGGTGATTATGCACCTGTTTTTTCTGTATTTGTTTCAATGCTGATTTGAGAGGCTTGACTGGAGGCGGCTGTTTCTCATAGCCACTTATTTGTCTAGACATTATTTGGATTTTATTAGCCGACTTTGTCCTTTTCAGATAATTTTTACTACTTGAGCTTCCATTCCTGAGTTTGTTTCTTTGAATATTCCTTTTTGTGAAGCATCATTCGCCTCAAAACACGTGCAGGTGTTTTTATAAAGCCTTACTGGACCAGAAGTTGATTTAAGGGCTCACTGTGACACAGAAGTACCAGTTTCTGGATTACAGTGGGCAATAGCCCACAGATATACTCAGACAAGCTGTCCTCCACTGTCATATTTCTCTTCAGACCCTCCACTGCAGGCAGCGGGATGACTTGTTTGTTGCTAGCAGTGTTGCTGGAGGAACTCCAGGCATGTGCCTGATTGGAGTGCTTCCTAGCAGTCTTTCACTGTCTAACTCTGCTTGGTTGACACCAGGCAGCAGGTTTCTGTTGTCTTGATTGAGGCTTCTATCCACGCTTCTCAGCGACCTTTTCACAGTTTTAATGTTTTCCTCAGTGCTCCTTCTCCTTGGGCTGCAGATAATTTGCTAGTGCTCTACCTCAGAGCAGCTGCCACTATTTTCCTCGGCTTAGAAGATGGGAATCCAGCGTAGCTCTTCCGCCAATTATCCCCTGGGTGAAATTACACACCGCTTTTGCTGTTTTGCTCATTCCGATGTTTCTGCCCCTGACCTGTGAGGTCAGACTGGCTGCTCCTCTGTCAGATCCATTCTCCTATCAATTCTGCCAAGAGCTTCCCCCTCTCCTTTCTGGCTCTATAACTAGCATAGTTAATTCTCTGATGGCTTCTAGGATTTTTCATCAGCTTTAAATATTCTCTTGCAATCCCTGTTTTAAACACATTCCTGTTGGAGTCTGAAATCATTAGTAAATATCAACTAATCTAATGGATTCCAATTGTTTCCTTCATTCTAGTCAACTACATTGTTTTATACTCCTCCGGGCCCAGTTTTAGTGGGTTGCTACTTTGGATGAGCATCAATCACTCAAATCGGAGGGCGGTACTTAGTGTCACTAATGATAAGCAATGGCGTTAGTTTTCTGAGCTTGCTTGTTACAATATTACACCCCCAGAGATTTTTATACGGCTAATGTTTTCTGCACCTTCAGTGTCCGACTCAAAATACCTTCTTTATTGCCATTTGTACCAGGTTTATGGTATTGTAAGCTGTGCTAAGTTTAGTTTTCTCTGCTGTTTGTTTGTGTTCTTACTGAGTATTGTAAAGCACCTTACTAGAGGCATGTGTGAATAAAGCGAAAGTATTTTTTTCACCAACCCTAGTTCTGAAGGTGCTGGCAACAGATTATTTTAATCTCTCTGAAATGTTACTTGAATGCAGCCTATTCTTGGAAAGAACAGTTCCCTGCAAGGTACTTGTGATATGTGCAATACTTGGAGAACAAAGAATTCCACAAAGGAAAAGATTTATTGAATCATGGAGTCCAGTCTGTGATATATTCTGTAACAGAGACCTTCTACCATCCCAGTTGCTTTAAATTCAACAGAAGGAGTAGTAATTGTGTTCTCATAAGAGAATTAATATTGCTTGGACTCAGAAATGCTTCTGTCCCACACTGTCGGGGCTAATGTATGACCTTATGTTTTAAAAAATACAACCGCCTCCAGAGCTCCAAAAAACATAAGACATGAGCTAGCGTCTGTGTCTCAGTCATCTTAGACATGATCTTTAACATCACAGAGGGCAATGACACAAAACTGGTTCAGTTCTTGCCACATAAGAGCTACGGAAACGCAGGTCATCAAAGTTTTTAATGGTACCAGTGCAGAGTTAAATGACCCTTCTGGCAGCAGAACGCTGGGTTTCCCTCTGAGCAGCATTAATGTAGGAAATCCAAACAGGCGAGCCGCCAACGGGGTCATTAAACTAAATAAAAAACACATCACCAGCATCCCCACAAATGAAGATAATTTAAGTACCACTTAGGATAGGAGACCTGCTCTCCATGATGTTTCCAATGTGACCAGAGATGAGAGAAGAGTAACGTGATATGCTGCAGAAAGGAATGTTCATTTACTAAAAAGAGCCTTTCCATTATGGCCCACATATCAAAAACATCCCTGCATTCCACAATCATGTCATAATCTTGCCACATAACATTCAATCAAGGCAACAGCTTGCCTGTGCCCAGAAAGCAATGGAACCATATGAGAAATGACTGCAAAGGTATCACTGGAATTTAGTTCAATCCTCAAAACATGGATGTTGAGAGGAATGCTTCAACTCTCAGGCAGCAGGTGCCCTGCAGACAGGGACCGCATGGATAAGGCACTCCAAAACACAGACCAACATCGCCAAGATAAGATTTCGGATGATCTGATTTTTGGAATGGGGTGATTTCCACCTCCCACAAAAACGTAGCCATTAAACCAAAATGGATATCATCGCACCTGCAATCCCAATTCAGTAACCTAGTTTGACTGAGTTGAATTTAAAGTGCAGCAGCAACTGCAAAGTTGAGATGTCAATGTGTACTCGTCTACACGGTTCACTGATAAGCCTGGGCTCATCGGTTAACCCACACGGCTACAACCTCCCCACCACCCCCGCTACTGCCTCCGTATCAGAGGGTGGAGGGAGGTGGAAGCCAGGGTGCAGAGGAAGCCAGCTCCCACGAAGCTGCCTCACCCCCCGCTGCCTCTCACAGAGGCAGCAGCGCAGGGGAGGGTGGGCAGGAGCTGATGCTTGGGGGGGAACTGGCTTAAAAGCCAACTTCCTGCAAACAATGGCTCCTGCGGAGCTGCCTGCCCCCCACACTGCCCCCCAGTCTGATAAAGAGGTAGCAGCGTGGCAGGGGAGGGGGAAACCAGTACACAAGGGAAGCCACTTTCAAGCCATCTCCCCATTCCTGTATCAGAGGCAGCAGTGTCGGGGGGAGCTGGGGCTCGTGGGAAGCTGGCTTAAAAGCCAGCTCCCTACTGCCCCCCTGCACGTAAATACATAATCACTGAAAATGTCAGTGGTTATACATTTACAAATATGAACATAGTTTAACATCCCTCTTGCACAGAAGATGTGATATGATCTGGTTAGCTCATTAGCGAAATGCAATAGAAAGAGACAGCCAGTGCAGTGGGATTCTGAAGAGTTTTATACTCTGCGTACTGTCCCTCTAGCGTGCTCATCTGTTATGTAGGAGAGAAGTGAAATATTTTTTCTCCCCTTCTCTCTCTAGTGAGAACACTTAGTGGACAATACAGGCCTGGTGCTGTGGAAAATAATGGAGTGAGTGCATCCACTCAATTATTTAACACGGCTGAGTAACTTCAGTCCTGTCAGTTCAGAAAACCCCTCTCAGTCGCAGTCACTACACAGAACTATTTCTGCACAGGTGGTTGTGGTGGTCCGTTTCCTCCTTATTTCATCAGCTAGCACAGCCCGGTCTGCCACCTGGTGGGGCTAAAAACCCCACACCCTTCGTCCCACTCCATGGAGGAGAGTGGAACCCTGTCAGACTTTTCATGGGGCGAGTGTAATTCAACGTATGGGGCCAGATTCACTCTCAGGGTGGCTGGGTTGCTGGTGCCCGCTCACACCGTGGTGGAAATCTTTTGGGGCAGGAACTCTGCTGGAGGTACAGGGACAGTTGTGGGAGACGAGGCATCAGAGGCCAGAGGGGACAGCAAGTCCACCAACTCAATTACTCTCTGTGACGAAGCTCCCAGTGGGGGAAGCTGCAGCAGCTTGGAAGCTTCCCATTCACCACAGACAAATGTGGGGGGAAGGCCCTGGGGGCGAAACACTGCCGAAGGGGCTGAGATGGGAGGGGGCAGGCTCGGCCCTGGAGAACAAACGCAGCGAGCAGACTGGCGTGGGTGCGTATGCCCTCCCTAGCTCTTCTGCAGCCAGCCTAGAGTCAGTCCTGTCCGTGGGACAGACAAGTGACAGCTGTGCCACCCTTAAGTAAGGGGCACTGGATGTGGGGCAAGAGTCACTGCACAGCCCAAGTCAAGCAGGGACAGGCGCCAATCCAATGACTGGCCAAAACATTTGAAAACTGTATTTTATTCTAGCCTCTATTTGTTAGCTTAGCACTGTGGTCACCCCTCATGTTCTGTGGCATAACCCCCGATTTCCATACAGCTTTCAAGAAACAGCTAGCCAGTCTATTCATAAATGTATCAGACAGACACCTCTTAGGTATGGTCACATACCCAAGGGGATACCCATACGGGTGTAATCTTTGTACCATGTCTGTCTCCTCTCTCCACAGAGCTATATGACCTTTGTGGATTCTGCTTTACCAGCTAGCTTGGCTCAATCACCAGATCAGTTTTGTTCGGTGCATTTGCCTGTTCACATTCCCCTTAAGATAAAACAATCATGAATTAACACAATACACCCTATTAATAATGAATTAGTAAGATGGACAGCAAGACATGAAAACAATGCAATGCCCACAATATGGCCATTTCATACAGCTTATTTGACTCTTATAGAACAGCCTGAATAGTCAGCAGAGGATCCCTGTCTAAGTTTGAAAGCTTACCAACAAGAAGTTGATACAATAAAAAATATTCCTCTGCCCACCTTGTCCAGCAATCAAGAGTCAGGTCAGTGAAATAATGGGACCAACTGCCTCTATAACAGGAGACGAACCACACCTTGTGTTACAGTCACACCATGCTCTCTGAAGATCTCCCTGCCACCTCCCTTCCCAGCTGCTTCTGTACCAGAACATGCGTAACAATGAACATTTCCACACGTGTCTTTCTTTCTCACCTGATTGGATACTTCTCCCCAGGGTCCCTTCCCAAGTGGAAGAGCAGAGGCAATTTGGTGTGCTCCTCCAGAGTATGGGTTGTTACTCCAGAAATGTTCTGCCCAGGACAGAAATCAACACCCTGCATCGGAGAGGGAGAGAGAGAGAGAGAGAGAGAGAGAGAGAGAGAGAGGTGGGTCATTGGGAATGTGAGATGAGAGAATGGGTTTGAGCAGAACAACACATGAAAACATGAATTCCTCAGCTATCGAGACTTTTATGGAGACTGCTTTCCCCACTCTCCCGTTACTAACTGGAACAGTTGTTTGGTTTTGGTTTTGTTTAAAGTTCTAAACCAGAGTTGATTATGCAGCCTGGATTCTGTTCTTATTTATGCTGGTGTGAAGAAGGTAACTCTACAGGAGCTGATATTGTGTAAAGCTGGAGTGAGAACTGAAGCAGGAGTCGCATTTCTGTGCTATTTAAAAGCAGAAACCATCTCTATAAAATATTCATTAAAATGAAATGGCAAATGAAAGACAAAGGGGAGGTCATTTAATCAGAACAACTTTGCACACGGAAAGCGCCTCCTCTCTTCCATTACTGCAGCACAGAGACGAGTAGATGAGTTCCCATTGGCTGGTGACAATGATAGAAAGGGGGGAAAAGCCCAATAAGATTAAAGGGCATAATCCCAAGAGACAACATGCTACTACAACTGCTGCTGGTTTCTATGGGAGATGCAAGAGCTCAGCATCTCTCTGAATCAGGCCAGAAGGCACTGAAGGAAGCTATACATTTTAATTAAAAAAAAAAAAAAAAGATGTTTGTCCTTCTGATGTCCAGCTTCTGGAAGCCCTGGTGTTAGGGTTATTAGTGGCAGGTAGGCTGGAAGATCTGCATTAGGTCTGGAAAGAGGCCAATGGATGCAAAACGTGGGATTTCCCCAGTGGTAGCAGTCTGTATGATGGCTACAAGTATCTGAACATTCCAGTTGCTAACATCAATGGGTTAAATCCTCACTAGCCAACCTAGCGACATCCAGAGCCATCTGTTTGGAAATCCAGAGCAGTTAGCTCTCTGCATCTGTGCATTTGTATGCTTTGCCAGGCTGTGTCTCCCCTCGACTCCAGCCAATTATTAGCCCGATGTCAACTCCCTAATAACCTAGAGCTTGGCCTACTGTCCTACTGGCTAACTGAACACTTTTAGCTCTGGGAATAGCAAAAAAATTTAAGTGCTAATTTCACTGAAGAGAAAATAAAGCAGGGGGCCCCACAGACTAGCAAGAGCTAGCACCTAATGGACTTGTTAAACCTCACAGGTTTGCAATTCCAGCTAACATGCTGTGCTATTTACAGTACTTCATAATGCCGAGACATGGACAGAGACCCAGAGAGAAGGTAAATGGTGATATTTAAATGGAGGGGGGGGAGACCAGCTGTACCATTTGCTTATAAAACAAAAACTGAAAGGCTCTCCACAGATGTTAGGATTTGATTGGCAAACAATTTTCTAAAAATATCCTGTATGTTTTTAATGGACAGCTGGTCAGTGGAGCAGTTAATATTCTGCTTTTCAATAAAGCAAGAAGGTTAGAAGCCCATGAAATCCCATTTATCTGCACAGAGCTATAGATTCCTGAGTCAGTGGCTGGAAAAATAAGAGTTGCTTGATAGGTTGTAGCGGGCAACTAATAATGGACTTTAAATGGATACAAAAATGATTGACCTTTTAACCTTCTCATACCATAGAACACGGAGATAGAATGTGGTTTTAATAGTGGAAAATAGAATTTAACTAAAAAAAAAAAAATACTTGGAACACTTAATGGAAAGGTATCAAAGCCCAGATATAACATACAAATTATAATTTGGATGCAAATCAAACAAGCTATTTAATTAAGAGCCTGCTAATTGGTGCTCTGGTCCTCGATTGCAAATGTTTTAGTGTGAGGGAAGAATTTATTCTCTTGGGCATTTGCTTCTGTTTCTCTTCCTATAAGAGAAGCAAATGGTGAAATGTAATTCTCATAACAGGGGCTCCAGAACCAGATTATATCCCCCAGATTCCTGAGAAATAAGAGGCTTCAACTAAGGGGTCTCAGAACCCAAAAAGAGCGCGGCCTGTCCCCTAGCTTCAAAAGCCAATTCCCTCTTCAAATCTCATTTACTAGAGGGAAAAAGAAAATCCCTCAAACATAACATTCGGTGACATTGATAAATAATACCCAGAAAATGTGGCTGAAACTACCATTTACACTCAAAGGCCTTTCAATTTTATCTCCACATGTAAAAAGTGAAATACAAATCATTCTCATGAGGTACTGAGTGACATCAAAATCCAGTTGTAGCCCAGAGAGGGACTCAAAACTTTCCGACATGAATATCTGCTACCCTGCTACTAAGTAAAATAATATTCCTGCGCCACCTCCGCTAAAGGCACTGCCCAGCGTAACAACCGCAAAACCAAAATGCAACATCAACAGCTAAACACGACCCTCCTCAAAGGCCTCAGAGCCAAGGGAAATGAGCCTGGAGTAACAAACACCCAGGGTCATCTGAAGAAGTGGGCCGTGCCCACGAAAGCTCATGATCCCGTCTACATGTTTTGTTAGTCTGTAAAGTGCTACCAGACCATTTCTTGTTTTTTTAAATTTATCCTGTACAGACTATCCAGCAAGACAAGGTTCCTGCGCTTGGTCCCATGCCATGACGAGCTTTCAAAACCAAAGATTGGCAATTTAAACCTTCAAGCCTCTACCTTCAAGCCTCAAGCCAATATGAAGAAAGCAGGCACATGCAGCACACACACTTCCACTTGATTCATGAGTCAAGCAAATCAGAGCCCTGTCTGCAACTGAAAGACCCAGATCCTGAATGCTAGCGTGGCCCATCATCCTCAAGAGTTTATGCACATCGATCTGACTGCAGGACTGAGGCTAGAAAACTACTCTAAAGAACTGGCTGAATCCGAATCTGCTTTATACCATGTATCAGTACAATACAGAGCCAGATGACTGAGGACACATCCCCGGCCATTGGACAGGTGAGGAGGTCTGATGGCATCATAAAGATTTTGTCAGAACAATTAATTCATGCTGATGGGGAAAAGTGTTGGTTACAGACAATGCCTTAAACCCAATTTTCGGATTAAAATGGACTTTTTTGAGCCTCCTCTTGATGGAAGTCATAGTACCGAAAACTGACATTATCTGAGACACCAGCAGTGTCAACGCCCAGTTTCGGAGGCAGTAAACCAGTTTATATTCTGCAGGAAAATCACTTTATTATTGAAATATCATAACGGTAATTCTGCCGCCTCTTGCATTTTGTAAATTCAATGCTGTGTGCAGCTCCTGAGAAGGAAACTGCACAATATCCTATCTGAATAAACAGTCAAGGACCCGCTGTCTGTGTTGCTTTCCTTTGCCAGAGCAAAGAATCTTTCATCAATGCTGCTTGAGATTTGGGAAGAACCTGCAGGAACAGACAATCCACACATTTGCACATCCAGAAGGTGCCCTTGGTGCTTTGGGAAAGATGCAGATTAGATTGTGTATGCTGTTGTGGTGGAGTAAGGAGAGAAGAGGCAGGAACAAAGTACAGACTATCCCTAGACCTTCCTTTATCAGGAGGCAAGGAATTGCTACTTGGCATTCCTAATGCACAGAAGATTCTTCTGCCGTCACTGTCCAAGCTGGAGTGAATGCTGACGGAAACAGACATGACTGTGAAGACGACGATTCCTTCTTTTTTTGTCTTACTGGTGAAGATATTTTAGGGAATGGGAAATCATGTCCCTCTTTCGGGATGATTTCCCAGCCTTCAGGAAATAAGATTATTTTCTACAAGGACAAGGCCTTAGAAGCTAAGAGTTTTGCAGATACAGTGGGCCCAATCCTCAGCTGGTGTAAATCAACAGAGCTTTGAGTTACCCCAGGTGAGTATCTGGCCAAGATACTCTGATATTCTACAAGAAGTCCTGTGGTACTTTATAGACTGACGAAGTGGGTCTTTGCCCACGAAAGCTTATTCTCCAATAAATCTGTTAGTCTATCTGATATTCTAGATGGCCTTGTAAGCAGCATCTCTTAAACATGAACGTCACACAGGAGAAGACTGAAGAATCCCTTTTAGGGAGTGGGTTGATCCAATTCCTTCCCTCCCCACAACCAACAAAAACCATCATTGGATTTACTATATTGTTTCCTGAAACATGAGAGCCTTTTTCTAACAATGTGCTATTAACCGGTTATTGATTCCATGAACAATAGTTTACTCCGGACATTATGTGAGGTGAGATACAGGCAGTCCCCGGGTTACGTACAAGATAGGGACTGTAGGTTTGTTCTTAAGTTGAATCTGTATGTAAGTCGGAACTGGCGTCCAGATTCAGCCGCTGTTGTTTCCTGAAACATGAGAGCCTTTTTCTAACAATGTGCTATTAACCGGTTATTGATTCCATGAACAATAGTTTACTCCGGACATTATGTGAGGTGAGATACAGGCAGTCCCCGGGTTACGTACAAGATAGGGACTGTAGGTTTGTTCTTAAGTTGAATCTGTATGTAAGTCGGAACTGGCGTCCAGATTCAGCCGCTGCTGAAACTGACCGCCAGTTCTGAC